ATCTTTTTTCACTCTTTTTTGATCAAAGATGATAAAAATATTGTGATGATGTCACATCCTTCTATTCATATACTAAGCTAGTACTAAGATATGGAGGTTAATACTCAGGTTTATATGTGAACACTATATTAGTGCTATAGTCAGAAGAGTAAGACTAAGATTCTAATGTTAGCAGTATGCCAAAACTAAAATTTAAATGCTAGTACTATGCTAGTATTAAGGTCCGAAGGTTAGTACTAGCTAGCACTAAGGTCTGCAGATTAGTACTAAGGTTTGAAGGTTGGTACTATGCTAGCACTAAGCTAGCACTAAAGTCCATACTATGCTAGTACTAAGGTCTGAAGGTTCGTACTATGCTAGTACTATGCTAGTCCTAGCATTCAGACCTTAGTACTAACCTCCAGACCTTAGTACTAGCTTAGTGCTAGCATAGTACTAGCCTTCAGACCTTAGTACTAGCATAGTACTAACATTTGAACTTTAGTACTAGCTTAGTACTAGCATAGTACTAACCTTCAAACCTTAGTACTCATCTGCAAACCTTAGTACTAGCTTAGTACTAACCTTCAGACCTTAATACTAGCATAGTACTAGCATTTAAATCTTAGTTTTAGCATACTGCTAACATAAGAATCTTAGTCTTACTCTTCTGACTATAGCACTAGTATAGTGTTAACATATAAATCTGAGTATTAACCTCCATATCTTAGTACTAGCTTGGTATATGAAAACAAGGGTGTGACATAGTCACAATATTTTCATTATCTTTGATCAAAAAAGAGTGAAAAAAGATTTTGAACTTTTCATCATAGTTTTGTATGAAAGATTGTAAAATGATTGAAGAAATGATTTTTAACATTTCATGCAATCTCCTTTCAATCTTTTCATTGTCTTTCACAACAAAATATGTTAAAATATTTTGAATACTTTTATCACAAATTGACAGTGAAGATGCTTAAAAGATTTGAACTTTTTCTTTGATATCTTTACCATCTTTCACCTCAAATTATTGATTGTTTCACCCAGTGTGCTGAGCCTTTTATATACACTGAGATGCATGAGCATCTAAAGGTCAACAAAAATGTAAGAATGCTGTAAACAACTCAGGCACAAAACATGCCTGAAGTTTGTTGAATGATAGAAGTATAATTGCAATATAGAATCATAGTCAAGTATCCTGAACCTAATCAAAAAAAAAAAGGTTACAGCATGAAACAGGAAAAACTGTTTGCTGTAAGCCTTGCACCAGTGCTTCACAGCAAACTAAGAGACTCACTTGTTGTAGAGAGGCATATTCACAGATATTGAAACCAAGGCATTATTGATGAACCGTTCATGAGTGTTGTCTTTCAATGGTGCAAAATTTTAAAACTGTTCAGATTATTTTACTTAATGTAAGTTAGCATTGATTCTGACTGCATTATGTAAATATAGTTTTTCCTAAGTTTTACCGAGTGAGCGCTGATTCTAAGAATTGAGTCAGAACCACAATCCATTTGTTCCTTCCTCTATGAAGGAACTCATAAAGGTGATCATCATTCGCAATACAGATATGTCTGATGCAAGAGTGAAAATCTTTTTCAGCTTCTGACTGAGCATGGAGGAAAACATTTTATGAGTGTTCATTTCCCTTTTCATATATTTCTGGTGTGACCCGTCAGGCTATATCATCATATCGATTTCATTAAGCTCTAATAATGTCTCACTCAGTTGTAAACTGCCATGATATTGATAGACCACTTCTGACATCAAACTCATGATGAAACTGAAGTACTGTATATGCTAAGAGTGCACGAGAATGAAAACATCCATACATCATTAACAGTGCCATCACTCACATGAAAAAGCTTCATAGCAGTGTGTTTAATTCAAACATGACCAACAGTTTGATGTCTACTTGTGCTAAATGCAATGCTATAGGACACAGCTTAATATACTGAAAAACTTGCCATCTGGCCAAAGTTCTTGAAATTGAAGAAGAGTGGATTGAATGGCTAAAATGGCCATGCCAGGCTTTTCAGCCTCAGAAAGGTGTGTCAAGTTAACATTCAGGCCTTACAAAGACATCCTGAGCATTCTGACACAGCTCAATATGCTAGAAATTCTGCAGTCTGATTGAAGTTATTGAAAATCGGACAGAGACAATCAAATGTCTGAGAAGGCCATGCCAGAATTTTAAACATCAGAAAGCTGTTTCAAGTCAACTTTCAGGCCTTGCAAGAACATCCTGAGCATTCTGACATAGCTTGATATGCTAAAGTTCTGCAGTCTAGCCAGAGTTGTTGAAAGCTGTGATAATGATCTTTGCTCAGATGATATTACATAAAGTGCTCAGATGATATTACACAATTTCAAAGTAGACTTTGATGACTTGATTCATATCTTACAACATTTTAAACATCAGAAGAAACTTATAAAATCACCATTAATCTCAGAATCTCAGAAATTATTCCTGTCAGCAATGGCCCTCTTATCCAAGTCTGATCTAGCACACTTCCAACATCTGTGACATACACAGTAATAATCTATATAACAATGAGTGGCAATGTTTCCAATCACTCTCAAGGAATGTTCAAATATGTCATCACAAGATTACCTTAGCATTGACTAAGTTTGAGTTCTGATTCAAAGTATTCAATTGGATGCATCTCTTCAGTAAATTTATCATACAGAGTGAACCAAGGCATGGTGCATTTTCTTATTATTATCATTGTTACGATTTCTGAGGTACGAAGGAGAGTTTGTGCGACACTGGACACTTAGGGCGTCTATGTGACGTTTTTTCATCCCCGTGGGACACTTAAGCAATGCGTGGGAGAGTGGACCATTACAAAGTGGTTTCATTTTCTGCCCCTGTCCTGAGGTTAGGAGAGGGCCCTTCCTTCAAAACTTTTTTACTGTGTTACATTTTGTTCTTACTCAGATTTGTTATCTTTTGTAATGGGCATACAAACTGGAGTTTGAACATGCATGACACGGCTGATCCAAACATGTGCAAATATTCAGAGCCAATCACAGCACTGAGTTTGCTAGGGTTTAATGCCTTAAGGGCTGATGGATTCAAAGCCATTCAAACCATTGTATTCAATGGCTTCAAAGTGGCTCAAACCATTGGGTTCAAAGTCATCCAAACCAAGGCATTCAATGGCTTGAAAGCGATTCAAAGCAAGGCATTCAATGGCTTCAAAGTGGTTCAAACCACAGTATTCATTATTTTGTTATGTATTTCAGTACAGTGATGCAAACAATGACTGATTTAACATTTTCCAGACTCATTATAGTCTCTCTTGAGAGACAAGCAATAGATCTTCACATTCCACTGCATTTCACTTCAATTCCTTCATTCTGAGCATATTGAAACAAGAGCTATTGATGCAATTGAGGTTTTCCATCACCACAGTATAGTGATCCATATTTTGACTTTTTTCAACTTTTGAACATACCAATAATACATGATAGATTACATATTGATGCTCTGCAATCAGAGCTGCATGCAGACCATTTTCCGGCTCAAAAAAGCGAAGATTTGAGGTCACAGAATGTATGAAGATGTCAGCCACTCAAATTCTCACGCTTTAAGGTGCCACAATGTGCAAATAACACCATAGCTAGTTGCATGAATGCGCACATCATAGTTTGTCGTTGTTTGTAAACAACAGGAGTTGCGCTTTTTTAAAATTAAAAACACATAAAACTGCACAGACCAGGAATTGAACTTCGCACTTCCAGGACACTTATGTCTCAGATAGTACCAACCATTCTATCCACTAGACCATCTGCTGTTTATGATTAACACAGCCCAAATATAATATACAGTGATTAACAAAGCTACACACATATTTTCGTGATTTTTACTGTTTTTCTACCACCTTCAGATTGCCTGTAGCTATATTCACAGATAAAATAGTAATAGAAAGCCATACTTCTCAGCTTTCAAATGAGTATCTGTTAGCTGAATTATGATGATCTGTTCTGAAGATATATGCAACTCTATCAGATGAACTCATTTATACACTTTTGTCACTAACAAACTTCAAAACTCTAGTATCTGGATAATCAGCCTTTTGCCTTAAACACTGCCTTAACCCATTCATGCATGTTGTGAATCAAAATCTGATGCACAAACCTGCCAATACTCTTTCATTTCTTTTTCAATTGCTTTCACAATTCTGTAATCTCTCTAAGTGGCTCCTCATGCCTTGCTAATCATTTTATGAGATACCTTCAAAGATGATCTATAAAATTGAGCTCTGATCATTGATAATGCCATATCATTGTCTTAATAACATTTTCTCTAAGTCAGCTAAGTCAAGCTTGAGATTATTATCTTGCTGAAACACCATCTCCTTCACTTTTGCTGCAATGCTTCAAGCCATTTTGAAGCTCATTTCTCAAAATGCTAACATAAGGTCAGATTCATCTTGCCATCAGTTTAGAGGTATATCTCATTATAATGGAAAGCTCTTCTGAGGTCACTCTGAATATTTCAATGCAGTTTGAAATGGCAGATATCTTGCAGTTCTGCCAAGGTTCATGACAGTTCTGTGGGAGGGGATTGAATGCCCAGAAAGGGTATCAGAGTGCTCTAGGGACCTGCATGGTGGCCTCGACCAAGGTTCAGATAATGAAAAGCTCTTCTGAGGTCACTCTGAATATTTCAATGCAGTTTGAAATGGCAGTTCTGGAGGGGATTGGCTGCCCAGGAAGGGTATCAGAGTGCTCTAGGGACTGTTGAAATACAGCACTGGTTATTGGTGAGTGGCGCTGCCAGCTCTTGATGGTCCATGTGCAGGGGTCTCAGGGGTATATAAATACCTGTAAATAGAGCAGTGAATCCCATCAGTTTGTTCCTCAGATTACTTTGATCTCTGGTGGGAGATTGACTCTGTTCTGGCCGGTTCTGCATCTTAAGTCAACACAAACTGATCACCTTATCAAGTTCTTGCTTGTTTGCCTGCCTTACTTCTCAGACCTAATCCTCATCCTCTCTATGTTGCACCATGGCTGAAGAATCATGGGATACTGCCAAGGCCTCCCACTTGGTGGAGGATAACTATAGGCTGTGGGTGATAAAGATGCAGGTGGTGCTGGTGCAGAAGGATCTGTGGGAGCAGGTGGACATAGAGGTGGAGGTGAAGGAAGGGGTCACACCAGAGGAGGCATTGAGCAAGGTGCTGCAAAAGCAGATGAAGGCCAAGATGGCCAAGGCGTGGGCAGAGATCATACTCTAGGTGGAAGAGGACCAGCTGAAACTTCTGGAAGAAGAGAAGGACTGTCAAGAGTGCTGGTTCAAGTTACGCAACACCCACAGGGCAAAGGGGTTCATCACAGAGTTGGCCAAGTGGTGGACATTCTATTATGTGCAGATGCAGGAGAGCGAGTCATGTCAGGGATGGATTGCTAGGGTGAAGGCTCTGGTGAGGGCACTGAAAGAGGTCAATGTCGAGGTCGATGAAATCCAGAAAGTGTTGGTCCTGGTCATGGGACTGATGGACAAGTATGGGTGAGTGGTGTCACAGGTCGATGATATGAACACCAGGGAACGGACCTTCAACCGGATCAGCGTGAAGATCCTGAATGAGGAGATGAGGCATGGTGGACCAGATGGTGCGAGTGAGCTGGAGATGGTGAGCTACGTGGGATCAGAGGGTGCCAAGTCAAAGAAGTGAGGCCCTGTAACTTGCTACATGTGCGGGAAGACAGGGCATGTTCATCACGACTGCCCAGATAAGAAGGAAGCAGTGGGAGTTGCCGCAGTGGAGGATATCTTTGCATTTTGATGAATGGGAGGGCAGAAGCAGCAGCTGGCTCAAGGGAGTGTGTTAGAATACAGCACTGATTATCGGTGAGTGGCACTGCCAGCTCTTGATGGTCTGTGCACAGGGGTCTCAGGGGTATATAAATATCTGTAAATAGAGTGGTGAATCCCATTGGTTTGTTCCTCAGATTACCTTGATACCTGGTGGGAGATTGACTCTGTTCTGGCTGGTTCTGCACCTAAAGTCAACAGGGACCTGCATGGTGGCCTCAACCAAGTTCCAGATAATGAAAAACTCTTCTGAGGTCACTCTGAATATTTCAACACAGTTTGATATCTTGCAGTTCTGCCAAGGTCCATGACATTTTAGGAGATGGGATTGAATGCCCAGGAAGGGTATCAGAGCCCTTTAGGGATGTGACTGATGGCCTCACCCATGTTTCAGATAATGTAAAGCTTTTCTATATATTACACATCTCAGACTTTGCAGCATTTTCCATCACTAGAAAAGATGAAGCAGATATCTACAGCCTGTATTTTGCTATGTTTCAGTCTTCATCCTCCAATGTTATCATCCACCTTCATTGTTGCCACTGCAATGTAGTTGTGAATGTAGAACATGCTTCTGTTTATTTATAGGACTGCAGTTTATCACTTTGGAGAAAGTCCTCTGTTAAGTTACATAGGCTCTTCAAAAAATAGAAAGATTTCAGAATGACTTAAAAAAGACTCTCTTTGCACGCCAAAGCTGCAAAAAAGACTTGTCAGAAGATATGTCTTTGTCAACATCCCTAACTTCTGAGCATTTATAACAAATCAGAAGCAAATTCAGCTAAATTCTGCTATATGCATTGAAGAACAAGGCATAACATATCACTTGTGTTGTATTATTTACTTTGGTGAGTTTCATTTTACTGCAATGATTGTTGACATGAATGGTCAGACACAGTACAATGATGGAATTGTTACAGATAATCTTCAACATCAGAATACCCTGTGAGGATGGCACACCATACTCTCCTCAACAAAGCACATAGCAGATTTAGCTTTGTAGCAATCTACTCTAAACTCTGCTTAACCTAACCTTCAATAATGAAAACACAGTCTGCTACACAGCATTGCCTTTCAACTGTCTTCTTTGCCATAAAATAATGTCACTCTAAATATAGCTGCTTCTCGAACAATCATACCATCCTTGATTTCTGCCATAGAGACTGATATTTCAATGGGGATAACAATATGTTCCCCTCAATCAATGTGGTGAATATCATGATAAACTTATTAAAGTCCATTATGAAGAACATCGCGACCTCAGGAATCGTTCCTGCCAGAAATGGCCTCTTTAGAAATAGTTGAGTTAGAACCATTTACTTTATTAACTGTTTGATCCATAAAAATTCCACATTTCTTTCAATCACTTCTAGTACTCCAGTTACAAGAGACGAATGCTTTGTCCGTGGACCAGGAGAATTATTAAACACTGTAGTGAGCTCAGTATTGGTTTATTAGCTGATTTTGTGTTTTTATTTCATGGCACGGTTGGGGGCCCACTGCGGGCACCCAGTGGCCTCGATTATATTATAATCGATTATGAAGATTGAGGGACGAATAAAGAGCCTTTCACTTTGCAAAGAAAAACACAGGAGTGCTAGAGCAGTAAGGAAGCACACCGCTAACGCCTAAGCGGGTATTAACGATAAAAATTGTTAAGAGCTAAGAAGTTCTTATTTTGTACATAAAATGAGGATGCATGTGTGGTCCAACCAGTGAACAAAGATATGACATTGATGCTGCTGTAATATAAATTATATGGTGACCTTTTTCAGTTGCGAGGAAATTCTCTTATAAGTGCAAACAAAACCAAAGTTGTAATGCAGAAATCCAATAAGTGTGCAAACTTCTTGCATTGTAAAATTATCTGTACATAAAACTAAACCACAGTTGCTTTCATTATAACCGTCACACATAATCCAATGAGCTAAAGTTACAGCGTCCATAAAGATTAACAAAGACATGGGTAAAACTTTTGTATCATTCGGGTAAAAAGCATTGTACAGTTCGTGAAGATAAGGTAATGCTCATGTTTTAAACGTAAGACCTGTATAAAATTTACCATATCTTTTGTCAAAATAATGACTAAAAGTGCGTTTTGAAGCAACAAAAGTAATAAATAAAGACCAGAGGTAAAGAAGATAAGGGCTATGAATTATTGATTGTTTGAAACCAAATCTGGGGATAGTACTGGCACCATAAAGTTATATCCAACTGTCACCCAAAATTAAACCAAGTGCGACTTGAAACAAATGTAATAAAAATTTGAACAAAGGATAAGCAAGCCAATCTATTAGTTTTCTAGAGAAAAGGCCTGAACCAAAAGAGCTGCCGTACTGTATAATTTCATTAGATCCTTCACTCTTAATTGGTAAACCACTAAGTAAGCAACACAACAAAGGGGGTATAAAAAACTAACTCTCAATATAGTACGGCTATGAGTATAAAACAAGGAATGCAATTAATAAAGCAAATAGGCCAAGTTACTCTGCAAGAGAAAGATTTAACCAGAAAGGGGATATAACGATAATTAGTAAGAACAAAATAAGAGTAAAACTCATAAAACAGTAAATAAGGTGAATAAACAAGGCACTCAGCAAGACACAGAGAAAGGAAGGTAAGAAGCTATTAATCTGATAAATTTTGGTTTAAATTATCCAAAGATACGGATGGTAGTAGATAAGGACCAATGATAGTTTTGAGTTTATCTATATCAAAACTATAAATAATAATTTGATTTTTTTTGCTGCTATATGAATAATGTTCATCACAATGTAAATCAAAAAGGTAGTGTAATAAACCAATCAATCTGCATCTTTCAACATATTTAAATCTATCAACTCGAATAACAATGCCACCATTGTGGCTATAGCCATTTGTCATGATTCAATAAGCTAAAGCTACTGCATCTAAATAGTAAAATAAGAATTCTATTGGAATTACTTTTCTACCATTAGGAAAAAATGCTTCATAAAACATTTTAAGAGCAGGAATTGCTCTAGTTTTAAACTCTATGACCCAAGAGGGATGTCTGTTGAGTGGTGCAAATCTAAGGATAGGTACTTTACCTATAAATGGTGCAAGTAGAGTCCACACATGAAGAACTAACTCAGTTAGTTTTACTAATTTTTTAAAACCAAATCTAGGATTTAAGTTTGCACTTCTCAACTCCAACCAACCTCCACTTAACAAAAGTCCGGTTAAGACTCCAATCACGAAAACACTAAACTTAAACATACCATAAAGTTCACTTGGAAGATGCATTCCAAATCCAAGTCCAGAAGATTTGTTAACACCGTACGGCACAATCTCTGTTGTATTAGATTTAAGGTTGAATAATTTATTTTTAAGTCTGTAGAGTCTTCTAGGATTTGATAAGTTAACTAATGGTAAGTTGGCTAAATGAATATACACAAAGGGGGTATACATATCTAAAACAAAATTGGGAAGTGCTATGAGTACAAAACAAGGAATGCAATTAATAAAGCGAACAATCCTCATTGCCTCAGCAAGCGCAAAACCCAAAATAGCGTAACTGAATAATTGTTCTCTTATTTGTGGATTTCTAGCTATAGAAGCAATTAGAGCAGAAAAAATAAGACCTATTCCTGCCTCCTCACACCAATAAGTCCTGAGCACGCTAGTCCAGTGCCTAAGTATTTAGCTGCTTGTAACATAAAAAATAATAATTATAAGTAATGAAAAAATCTAACATCCAAGATTAGTAAAAACTACTCGGACTCTTTTAGTTTTTATGGCCACAATTAATTTACGAGTTTAATTATAGCTTCATAATGAATTACTAGGAAGGCACAATAGGTTTATGCTATGTTCAAGTTCAGTGTATTCTTGGTTAGAGTCCTAAATGGCTTATTATTGGGAGACACTTGGCTTGAATTTGGAACAGCTTGCTTAAACCCCCAATACAAAATCAGTGAATCTATCTCTGTTAGTTCTTCACGTGTAGACTTTATTGTAGGTAAAGTTCCTCTACTGCAATTTGAACTGATCGATGGTTTTTCAACAAGCAACCTGGGTCATTACGCCCTTTTTTCTATCACTAAGGTCATGTATAGTACTGTAGACTCTAGAATTGATTCTATATTCTTTATTATCCTTAGCTTATGAAAGGATTCAAATTTTAACATTTATATGAGTAGCCAGAATCGAACTGACAAGAACTACTTGGAAGGTAACAGTTTTACCATTAAACTATACTCATTTATTTTATTTATAACTCTTTTAGTTTCTGTCTTAATAACCCCTTTCTCATTTGCCCGAAGCCAAAGGTTAAGAGCTTCCTAGGTTTCTTACTGTGTGGATGCGATACTTTGCCTCAAATCATTCAGAAACTGTTTCTCTAATTATAACTAAAGTTCTATGGATATTCTAATTTACATTACTTTACTCAGTTGCTGATATTACTTGCTCTATTTAGCAGTGGCATAAGTGCCCCAAACTTTACTTTACTTTATAGATTGAAAAGAAGGGCAAAACAAGTCTTTGGTGGGTTTACTCTAGCACGTTCTACCACGTCGTTAAAGGTTGTAGTTAGTTACTAGATTTTTGCTCTGTCTGAAACAAGAAACAAGACGACAACTAATCCAAGGTTGGACAAAATGGAGTACTCACTCGTGCCTCTTCAATTACCAAAGGGGTCCTTAATTAATACAATAAGGAGTATGCTTCGTTCAGAATTCTGGTCTAACACTACGCTAATATGAATCATTATCAAGTTCAAGGAAGCATCCAGATCTGTTTATTTTTGTCTTTTTGTGTTGTAGATTTTTTATTTGGAAACTTATGAACTGGCAGCTCTCGCAGCAGGGACAATCAGGTTCATTACAAGTAGATGCTCTTAGTGTGGTTGCTAAACTGGGTAGCATTCTACGCTGAGAAATTGGCATCATCAATGTTGTTGTTTATTAAATTTATCAGGCCTTAGTTTCTTTACTGTTTTCTCTTTACCTGTCAAAATCAACCCAAAAGGGGGTGTAATTTTTTTATTTGAATTGTACAGAATAAATACCACGTAATGTGTAATGAAATTTAATAGTATCCTGGAGTGAAGATTGTCTAACCTGGAAATGTCTAGCACAAGATCTAAGTGATGGAAATTCCTGAGTTGCCCCAGTTTGATTGTTTGTGACTAATACAGGTTTAGAATTAGTTGCAAAACCATTTGAACCATTTTTCATATTCAGAGATGGTTTAAACTTAATGATAAAATCTATTTCG